GAGGGGAAGTTTTAACTAGGCCAAAGGAGTACAACTAATTGGGTTTCAAACAACTTATGTCAGGCCAAAAACTGGATGCCAAGGAAGGAACTATATTAAACAAACCTATAACAATCTCCTTGAAGATATTAACTATCTTTGTTTTTGTCTTTGTTTTGTAATCTTTACATGGGGGTCATGCTAATCTTTTATTATCCCAATTTTAGTATATGTGCTACTAAAGTGACCACCAGTTACATAGTTTTTTAAATAACTTAAACATTTTAAAATATATATTTAGGGAGTAAAAGTGCAGGTTTCTTACATGCATATATTTCATTGTGGTGAAGTTTGAGTTTAGGGTACTCATCACCCGAACAGTGAACAGTGTACCCAATAGGTCACTTTTCAACCCTCACCCCCTCCTACCCTCCTACCTTTTGGAGTCTCCAGTGTCTGTTATTTCACTCTACATGTCCGTGTACCAATTGTTAGCTCCCGCTCATAAGTGAGAACACACAGGATTTGTCTTTTTGTTTCTGAGTTATTTCACTGAGGATAATGGCCTCCAGTTTCATCCATGTTGCTGCGAAAGACATGATTTCATTTTCTATGACTGAGTAGCATTCCATTATATATATATATACACATACACACATATATATAAAAAACATTTTCTTTATCCACTCCTACATCGATTACACTTAAGTGGATTCCATATCTTTGCTATTGTGAATAGTGCTGCAATAAACATACAAGTGCTGGTACCTTTTTTAATATAATGATTCTTTTCCTTTGGGCATATACCAGTAGTGGGATTGCTGGATCAAATGGTAGTTTTATTTTTAGTTCTTTGAGAATCCTCCATACTGTTTTTCATAAAGGTTGTACTAATTTACATTCCCACCAACAGTGCATGTTTTCTCTGCAGCCTGGCCAACATGTGTTATTTTTAGACTTTGTGTGTGTGTGTGTGTGTGTGTGTGTGTGTGTGTGTGTGTAAGACAGAGTCTCACTTTGTTGCCCAGGCTGGAGTACAGTGGCACAATCTCAGTCTGCAACCTCTGCCTCCCGGGTTCAAGGGATTCTCGTGCCTCAGCCTCCTATCTGGGATTACAGGCATGCACCACCACACCTGGCTAATTTTTGTATTTTTAGTAGAGATGGGGTTTCACCATGTTAGCCAGGCTGGTCTTGAACTCCTGACCTCAGGCCATCACCCCACCTCGGCCTCCCAAAGTGCTGGGATTACAGGTATGAGCCACCTTGCCAGGCCTAGACTTTTTAATAATAGCCATTCTGGCTGGTGTAAGATGGTATCTCACTGTGGTTTTAATTTGCATTTCTCTGATGATTAGTGATATTGAGCATTTTTTATGTTTGTTGGCCATTTATATGTCTTCTTTTGCCAAATATCTGTTCATGTCCTTTGCCCACTTTTTAATGGGGTTATTTGTTTTTTCTTTTTGAGTTGTTTGAGTTCCTCACAGATTCTAGATATTAGCTCTTTGTCACATGCACAGTGTGTGATATTTTTTTCATTCTGTAGGTTGTCTGTTTACTTTGTTCATTGTTTATTTTGCTGTGTAGAAGCTTTTTAGTTTAATTAAGTACCATTTGTCTATTTTTGCTTTTGTGGCATTTGCTACTACATAGTTTTAATGGTTTCTTTGGCTGCCTACATTGCTCCTGTTTCCTTGGACTTTTTCTTTTCCTGTTTGTTTTGGTATCTGTCATTCTGGTGGTTCTTGGCTGGCTGTTCATGTTTTGAAGTGGAACTGCTAAACAGCTGCCAAGTGGCCAGGCTGGACTTGTTGAATGATAGACTTACAGTGGGCAATTGGATGGAGCCCTTGCCATTTTGCCAGAGGTCCCCAAAATGTTGGAATCTGAAAGTTCTCCAATGTCCTGCCTGGAGGGCCTAAACGTTCTAGGAGTCCAACAGGCAAAGGGCTGAGGGGCTAACTGCATTTACTTAACTCCTTTTTGTTTCCCCAGTGAAATTACTCCTTTTTGCCCTCAGCTATCCAGGGATCTTCTGTCCTAGGCTTTAGTCTCCTACAGGGCCCCTCCATATTCTGAGTAGAAGGGGCATTATAGGAGACTAGAGCCTAGAAGAGAGACCTGAGGATTTAACCTCAGAACTCCTTATGAAGATTTTCCACCATCTCCCCTGTGTTCAGCCCACTCTGCATCATAGTCTTCAGATGTCCCTATTGCCTCTGATGTCCTATTTCTATCTTTGAGAAACATTTTGTATATGTAGAGGCTATTTAATCCTTGAAGGTTCAGATAAAACATTTTAAAAAACTATCTGTTCCTGGTGTTTATTTTTCTTTGCATTATAGAAAAATTTTCAAACACAACAAAAGTAAAATAAATGATGATGACCCTATTAACTTAAAAATCACATAATCTATGCATTTAGAGAGAAGTATTTCTTGTAAAGGGTTACAGCCTGCAAGGTGGCCATGTTACAGGCTGGGAACCACAGCCTCAGGGTTAGATCAGAGACGGGCACTTCGAAGGAAGAGGGGTAATGACTGGGTTGGCCAAATATGCATATTCAGTAGGTTACAGGAGGATCTATGAATATTCGTGAAGGTGGTCCTGATGCATGTGTATTGAACAAACATGCATATTACACATGCCCATGTTCACCTTGGGATGGAGCCATTACATTTAAATGTATTACATTAGGCATTATACGTTAGAATATCTTTGTAGAAGTTCAAGTGCACAGCCTCTGTAAACTGACCAGAACCAGTCCATGGTTCGTGATCTTATCAGGAGAAAGTTACTGAAGTCAGTCTTTTGTCCAATCAAAGCTATAGTTATGGCTTATGGAGCAGGGGGTTGGTTAGTCAGCGTCTGCTGGTAGATGTGCTGCAAATTTTTCTAATATTGCTTGTCTCAAGGCCAGTGCTTGTTTAGCTGCTAGAGGAAAAGAAAAACCTTGTGGCAGTTAGGACACAGCTTATTCTTCAAGTGTAGGTGTGCATGACTTAACCCTTGCCTGGCCTGGCTTTAGGTCTTGTTTATAGTTTGGTACCTTATTGCCACAAAGGATCTGTTCTGTTAGTCTTATTCTCAATTTTAACATAAATGCTGGTCAGTTATGTCTATACTGCAAAAAGGAGAGAATATAACAAGGTGTGTCTGACCTCCTATCCTGTCTTGGCCAGGATTTTGGTTTTTAATGTATGCCTGGGATCCCCTTGGCCAAGAGGGAGTCCATTTAGTTGGTGGGGAGGCTATGGATTTTATTTTTAGTTTACAACTCTTTTTTTTTTTCAAATCTTTTGTAGCATAACTTCAATAATTATCAATATATGACTGATTGTGGTTCCTTTCCTACAATCATTTTAATTGTTGTTGGTTAATTTAGTTTTCTAATTTTTTTAAAGTCAATTTTGATACTTCTATTACTTTTGTAATGAAGTATCCATTTATTAGCCTTGTGGCTAAGGGTTATAATTACAGAAACAGATTGTCTGGTTTTGTTTTTCCATGTGGGTAGTCATTTAAGCTCTCTGTGTCTGGGTTTCCTCATTTGTAAAATGGGAATAATAATGTTATTTATTTCATAGGATTGTTGAGAAGATTCAATTAAATCATACATGCAAAGCACTTAAAATAGTATCTGGCACATAGCAATGTAATTGTTATTGTTTAAGTTTTATTGTTATTATTTAAGTTTTAAAATTAATTGGCATGAATTTTTTAATGGAATTATAATTTTTAAATTCTCAACTATATTTTAAGTTATGTTCCTTTTTCATTCCTAGTGTTGTTTACTTAAAATTCTTCTTTTCTTCTGATTGATCATACATAGAATGCCTTTGTTTTTTCTTTTTCTTCTTTTTCATAGAGACAGACTCTCACTCTGTCACCCAGGCTGTAATGCAGTGGCACAATCATATATGGCTCACTGCAGCCTCAAACTGGTGCATATTTATATATACACACATATATATATTTATAAAATATATATCTAATATATATCTATAAAATATATATCTAATATATATATATCTAATAAGATATAGATATGTGTGTGTGTTATAGAGATGAAGTCTCATTATGTTGCTCAGGCTGGTCGTGAACTCCTGGCCTCAAGCAATCCTTCTGCCTTGGCCTCCCAAAGTGGAGGAATTACAGGTGTGAGCCACCACACCTGGCTCGACTGCCTATCTTAATAATCTTTTAAAGTAATTGCCTTCTTTCCTTGTTCCCTCTAAGTATGCTGCATCCCACAAGTTTCAATATGTTGTATTTATAAATGTTGAGTTCAAATATTTAGTAATTTCTATTGTGGTTTCCCGTTAAACCCATGATTAGAAATTACTATATATACAAGTATATTTATATAAAATAATTTTGAATGATGGTTTTAATAGGAAACCACAATATAAATTTGGCTTATTATATATAAACTATAGAAACATAATAAAGTTACTTTTCTGAGGCTTTTCCGTGACCTAGTATATGTGCTTTCTTTGTAAATGGTGTCATTTGTACTTGAAAAGGAAGTGTGTTCTCTATTTGTTAGAAATTATTCTTCAATTTGTTTATATGTCCTTTTTTTTTTTTTTTTTTTTTTTTTTAAGACAGAGTCTTGCTCTGTTGCCCAGGCTGGTGTGCAGTGGTACAATCTCAGCTCATTGCAAAGTCCACCTCCTGGGTTCAAGAGATTCTCTTGCCTCAGCCTCCCTAGCAACTGCGATTATAGGCGCATGCCACCACACCTGGCTAATTTTTGTATTTTTAGTAGAGATGGAGTTTCAGTATGTTGGCCAGGCTGGTCTCGAACTCCTGACCTCAGGTGATCCACCCACCTCAGCCTCTCAAAGTGCTGGGATTACAGTTGTGAGCCACCACACCCGGCTATATGTCCTTTTGTCTTAGTTTTTTATCTGTATTAAAATCTCCCATTGTGACTATGGATTTGGCCATTTATCCTTGAAATCCTACCCTTTTTAATGTATACATTTTGAGGCTGTGTTCCTTTTACTTTATAGTCATGAAGGTGAAGGAGAAGGCTGGGGTAGGAAAGCTGGACCACACTAACCACAGGAGGAGATATCCGGATCAGAAAGGTGAGGTCACTTTGAGGACTTTACGCAAATCTCAGGAGGCACTGAGAATTCTCTGGATGTCTTTATAACAACTCTTTCAGCTGGAGAGTCTAGGGAGCAGGTCCCTTTTCCTGACTCATCCACAGTGTCTCCTTGAGGCTGGTGGGACCAGCCTTCATGGTATCCCCAGGTGACTGCATGGTCAGGCCGGAGACAGGAAACTGCCACTTTGCCTGTGTGGATTAGAGTATAGCTTCCCCAACACAAAATGTAACTCACCTAATTTTACAAGATCTGCAAACCATAATAAATACCAAATATCAACATTTTATATTAATAGATTCCCAAACTGCCAGTTCAATTAAAACCAGTGCAAGAGGATGTTGGGGTGGCAGGTATTTCTGTTGCTCCAGAATTGCTGACTTTAGAGGCCTGAAGCCTCCTACACACTACAGAGAAGAAGCCACAGGGCTTATGAAAAGGCAGTCAGATGGGTGGCTAGTGCCATCATTACCCCAGCCCCATGTGAAGGAAAATACCAACCTCACTGTCTACCTAGAGGCTCTGTGAGCTGCAGAATGCGTAGAGCTACTTTGGAGCTGTCAAGCAAGAAAAATGCCCTAAAGAGTTGCTAGGAGAACTTGGCACATGTCCTGAGCCAAACTGCAAGATACTTATGGTGAGAGGAGAGGTCCTGCAGAGCCATGAAGGAGAATGTAGACTTGGGTGAGGGCAAGCCACTCTCCACAGTTCACCAGCTAAATCACCATGCTCTTTTGATTATGATAGAAGCCAAGAAAAGATGGGACAATTTAGATTCAGAACAGAAAGTAAAATATTTTTTTGACAGCCATCTCCTCTGATTTTTAAAATAAGTATACTCTTCCTGTGTATGGCCCCTTACAATTTGCATAATCATGTTCTCATACATGATCCCATTCTATCTTTTCAGATGCCAGTTTGGTAGAGAAAGGATTTTCATTCCCACATTACAGATGAGCTCACTGAGTCCCACAGAGGCAGGATGGCCACAGATCAAGTAAAGGACAAGCCAGGGAGCACCCAGGGCAGCTGCCTCTTGGGTTGGGGTCTTTTTGATAATACCTGCTTCTTTTCATTTCCATTCCTGGCCTCAAGGGTGGAGAATAGGAACTTGTCGTTGGAAGACCCAAATATGCTAAGCCCTTAGAGTGGAACTACTTACCTCTAGGTGCTAGTGTCTACTTCTTATCTCAAATTGCAGCTTGCTTAAACAATGCAGTGTAGGGACGGGAAGCTCCACCATGATATGGGGAGGTGAGAGGAGGAAGAAGGGAAACTAGTCATTCTGACACCGGTCCCAGGAAGCGAGGCCACACTTCATAATAATCTCCACTTCATTTTCTTCATCCCTGTTATATCCAGGAGAGAATGGGATCCAGAAGAGCATGCAGTGGGGTGAACTGGGACTATATACAGATTTGGACACTGACATCCAAGTAACTTGACCCCCAGTACCTAGGAATGCACCAACCAGAGTAGACTCATACAACATCTCTCTAAAGCATATTCAACATCTCTCTAAAAGGCTTAGACACGCTTCTCCATAGTTCAGTTGAGAAACAGTATAGTGTTATTTGAAAGTGGACATAGATTAATTCTAACTGTATATTGCAAAGTCTAGGGCAACCACTATAATTTTTTAAGGGGTATAATTGATGCACTCAGAGATGAGAGAAAACAGAATCATATAAAGTGCTCAATTAAAACCACAGGAGGAGCTGGGCATAGTGGCATGTGCCTGTAGTCCCAGCTACCCAGGAGACAGAGGCAGGAGAATTGCTTGAGGCTAAGAGTTTGAGGCCAGCCTGGGCAACATAGCAAGACCCTCTTTCTTAAAAAAAAAAAAAGGACAAGTGCCACAAACACAAAATAGTTGTAAACATGGTAGATATTAATTCACTGATATCAATAATCACTTTATTTATTTATTTAGAGACGAAGTCTTGCTGTGTCGCTCAGGCTGGAGTGCAATGGTGCATCTCAGCTCACTGCAACCTCTGCCTTCCGGGTTCAAGCAATTCTCGTGCCTCAGCCCCCCGAGTAGCTGGGACTGCAGGTTCATACCACTACGCTGGTTTATTTTTTATATTTTTAGTAGAGATGGGGTTTTGCCATGTTGGCCAAGCTGGTCTTGAACTCCTGGCCTCAAGTGATCCATTCACCTTGGCCTCCCAAAGTGCTGAGATTACAGGCGTGAGCCACTGCGCCTGGTCAATAATTACTTTAAATATGAATGGTCTAAACATATCAATTAAAAGACAGAGGATGTTAGAAAGGCTTAAAAAACAAGACCCAACTATGTGACAAGAAACCTACATTAAATATAAAGACACAGGCCAGGTGCGATGGTTCACACCTGTAATCCCAGTACTTTGGGAGGCTGAGGTGGGAAGACCACTTGAGGTTAGGAGTTTGAGACCAACCTGGCCAACATGGTAAAACCCTGTCTCTACTAAAATTACATAAATTAGCCGGGCATGGTGGCACACACCTGTAATCCCAGCTACTCGGAAGGCTGAGGCAGGAAATCACTTGAATCCTGCAGGTGGAAGCTGCACAGAGCAAGACTCCATCTCAAAAAAAAAATGCAAATATGGCCGGGCGCGGTGGCTCAAGCCTGTAATCCCAGCACTTTGGGAGGCCGAGACGGGCGGATCACGAGGTCAGGAGATCGAGACCATCCTGGCTAACCCAGTGAAACCCCGTTTCTACTAAAAAATACAAAAAATTAGCCAGGCGAGGTGGTGGGCGCCTGTAGTCCCAGCTATTCGGGAGGCTGAGGCAGGAGAATGGCATAAACCCGGGAGGCGGAGCTTGCAGTGAGCTGAGATCCGGCCACTGCACTCCAGCCTGGGCGACAGAGCGAGACTCCGTCTCAAAAAAAAAAAAAAAAAAAAAATGCAAATACACACACACATATATATATGCACACACACACATATATATATACACATAGATAGATAGATAGATACAGATGAATTCGAAGTAAAGGGAGGGAGAAAGATATACCATGATAATACTAATGAAAAGAAAGCAAGAATAGGTATCTTAATTTCAGACAAAGAAGAATTCAGAGCAAAGAACATCTCTTTAACAGGGATAAAGGAGGGCATTGCATCATGATAAAAGGGTCAGTTCTTCAGGAAAACGTAATAGTCCTTAATATGTATACACTTAACAGCAGAGCATCAAAATACATGAGGCAAAAAAATGACAAAACTGAAGAAGAACAGACAAATCAGCTATTATAGTTGTAGACTTCAACACCCATCTACCAGTAATTAACAGATCCTGCAGGCGGAAAATCAGTAATGATACAGTTGAGAGAGGAACAGCATGTTAATCACCTGGATTTAATTGACATTTGTGTAACGCTTTGGCCAACAACAGCAGAATACACATTCTCCTCAAGCTCATGTGGAATATCCACCAAGACAGACCACATTCTGGGACAAAAAACACACCTGAACAAATTTAAAGGAACAGAAGTCATGCAGAGTATGCTGTAACACCATATTGGAATTAAACTAAAAATCAATAACAGAAAGATTACTGGAAAATCCCAAAAGATTTAGAGATTAAACGATATACTTCTAAATAATATATGAGTAGTCAAAGAAGAAGTCTTAAGAAAATTTTGAAAATATTTTTGACTAAATGAAAATTAAAATTTAACTTATCAAAATTTGTGGGATGCAGCAAAAGCAGTGCTTAGAGGAAGATGAATAACATTAAATGCATATATTAGAAAAGAAGAAAGATCTAAAAGCAACAACCTAAGCTCCCATTTTAGGAAACAAGAGAAGGAATTGCAAAATAATCCTAAAGCAAGAAGAAAAAAGGGATAATACCAAATAGAGCAGAAATCAGTGAAATTAGAAATAGGAAACAATAGAGAAAAATCAATGAAACTGAGACTATCTCTTAAAAAGATCAATAAAATTGATGAATCTCTAGCCAGGCTAACCAAGGAAAAAAGGGAGAAGACATACATTAATATCAGAAATGAAAGGTGATCGTTATTGATTCCATGGACATTAAAAGGATAATAAAGGAATATTATGAACAACTCTGTGCCTACAAATCTGATTACTTAGGTGAAATGGACTGATTTATTGAAAGACACAAACTACTAAAACTCACACAGCAGAAATAAATAATTTGAACAGGTCTGTTACTATCAGAGAGGTAATAGATAATAATTAACAACTTTACAAAAAAAAAAAAAAAGAGCAACAGACCTTGATGATTTCACTAGCGAATTCTACCAAACATTTAAGGAAGAAAGGATATCAATTGTCTACAATCTCTTCCAGAAAATAGAAGCAGAAGGAATACTTTCTCACTAATCCCATGAGGTCAGCATTATCCCAGTACAAAACCAGATAAAGACATGACAAGAAAGAAAAACTACAGATCAATATCCTTTATGAATATATATGCAAAAATCCTCCACAAAATGCTGGCAGATCAAATTCAACAATGTATAAAAATAATTATACACCATGACCCAAAAGGATTTATCCCAGGTATTTAAGGCTGGTTCAGTATTCAAAAGTCAATTAAGACAATTCATCATATCAATAGGCCAAAGAAGAAAAATCACACAATAATGTCAATCGATGCAGAAAAAGCATTTGACAAAATCCAACACCTATTCATAGTAAAAACTTGCAGTAAACTAGGAATAGAGGGAAATTTCCTCAACTTGATTTTTAAAAAATCTACAAAAAAACTATAGCTAACATCATACTTAATGATGAGAAACTCAAAACTTTCCTACTGAGATCAGGAACAAAGCAAAGAGATCCCCTTTCACCAGCCCTTTTCAATATCATACTGGAAATTCTAGCTAATGCAATAAAACAAGAAAAGGAAATAAATGTATATAGTTTGGGAAGGAAGAAATAAAACTATCTTTGTTCACAGATGATATAACTGTCTATGCAGAAAATTCCAAAGAATTTACCAAACAACTC